TTGCCAGAAAGGTCTGAATTCATTGGTAGTCTTAGTATTCCAGATGTTATGTTTATAGTACCATACCATGGGCTTTTCTTTTCATCCTCTGTTGCCTGCCCAAAGTGCATGTCTTTTTAAAATCTAAATTAGAAGCTAAGTGTGTTGACATGTATCAGTAATCCCTGATACTAAGGAGACAGAGGCCAGTGGATCACTTGAGTTCAGGAATTCTTAGCTACAGTGGGTTAAAGCCTATCAGATGTCTACCCTGAATCTGGAACCCATCTAGTGACCCCTTGAGAGTATGTGGAAGGGGGTAGGATGTGTGTGTGGGGATTAGGCGGCCTAAAGAGGAGAGAACTGGCCCCTGAATATATCCGTCCTCCTTGCCTCCCCACCCCCAACTCATACCTCTTACTCAGAGAGCCATTTTCTGTAATAGGTATTAAGATGGGGTGGAGGAAGCAGGTCAACCAAATTAATCATGTATCAGCCAAGTTTGACAGTATATGCAATGTTGCCTACTTCTAGACTCCTACATTTTCAAAGAAGCGAGGGAGTCATTTCTGCCTTTCTTCATTATGCTAGGGTCAATTATATCATTAGTTGCATAACCATAACAGAAAAATAAGTTTTTGTCACAGGGTACTAACATAGGGACAGTCCTCCTTATCTTTTGGGTACTGCTTCTTTCTCCCAACAGTAATCATGAGACACAAAACAGAGACCTAGGATCCAGTCTCCATAGCACCACTCACAGGAATGCCACCTTCTCCTCCCCATTTCCTTAACTACAAAAAAAAAAAACCCTTAGGCAAAAGGGTTAGAGTTCTCCCTCTTAGTGTGACTGCACCTGTACTAGGACTGTCCTTTGCATCTCAATCTTCTGCAACCACTACCCTAACCCCCACTTCCCACTCTGCTCCTCCATGCATTTGTCAAAAGTGAAAATCTGATTAGAGGGTAATTCATCCATAAACAAAAGAGCAGTCTGTACCTCAGGAGAGGTCCCTTTTGAGTTCCTGCTGCTGAAAAAGTCAACACCCTTTGTCCATCCTGTTGACAGGCCTCTCCTTAGTGACATAAGTTTATTACCAGGCACAAACTCAGAGCCCTTCCAAGTTCATAGAAACTACCAGAGTTTCACTCCATTAACATTCCCTTCAAGTACCTAGGGCCAGTACCTCCATGAACTAATGAAGTATTGAAGGAGAATGCCCACAAAAGTGTAACTGCCCTTCATTTTCTTGAAACACACCATGACATGCATTTATACCTCTATCCTCTCCCATTACCTGTTAATAAATTTAGAAACTGATAGAACTGGAAAGGATCTTGTAGGTCATCTAGTTCAAATTCCTCATTTTACAGATAAAAAAACAAACTCACAGAGATTAAAGCAACTTAGCCAAAGTTACATGGTTACCAACTGACAAAGCCAGAACTTGAACCCAGGACTTCTGACTTTATGTCTAGTGTATTCATCATACCAAATGATCTTCCACTCAGCTCAATAAAAGTTTCCTTCCACTACTAAGTTTGGTGACAACTTTGAAAGTACCTAAGGCTCCACATTTTCATTTTAACACACAAAGATTACCTTGTGCAAGAGAATTACTCTGAAACTGAAGACAGAGAATCACTTCTCAGTTTCTTTTGCATCCAGGCCATGCCCAGTACCCATAGGCATCCCTCAGGTTCTGCCCTGGGCTCTCTTTTCTCCTCTCTCTATATTACCTCATTCAATGATCTCATCAGCTCCCACAAATTAAATTGCCATCTCTGCATTGATGATACTCAAATCTACCAATCTTGCCCCAACCCTCAGCTGAAGTTCAATCTCACACCTTCTCATACCTTTCAGTTATGTCAAACTGGATGTTCAGTGGACATCTGAAACATAGCCAAAACTGAATTCATTATCTTTCCCATCAAACCCTATCTCCTTTCTACCTTCCCTGTTACTTTAGAGAGCAATACCATCTTCCCAGTCTCTCAGGTTGAGCACTAGAAGTCATTCCCCACTCCTCACTATCTCTTATTCCCCACCTCCATCTAATCTGTTGCCAAGGCCTGCCACCTTTGCAACATCTCCTGAATAAATCCCCTTCTCTCCTCTAACACTACCACCACTCTGCCGGAAGTCTCTCCACTCATCCTCCCTTCAGCCAGTAAAGTGATTTTTCTAATGTGCAAGTCAGATCATGTCGCATTCTCTTCATCTCCAAAAACTACACAAACTCTAGTGGCCAGGATCAAATAGAAAATCCTCTGTTTGGCATTCAAAGCCCTTTGTAATCTAGCCCCCTCTTACTTTGCCAGTCTTCTTATACCTTACTCCCTGACACATACTCTGACCTAGTTACACTGACCTCTTGGCTGTACCACAAACAAGACACTCCACCTCTTAGCTCTAGACATTTTCTCTGTCTGTTCCCATACCTAGAACATTCTTCTTCATCAAGTCTGTCTACTGGCTTCCTTGGCTTCCTTGAAGTTCCAACTAAAACCCCATCTTTGACAGAAAGCTTTTCCCAATCCCTCTTAATTCTAATGCCTTCCCTCTTTTAAGTATTTGCTATTCATCTTGTATACAGCTAACTTATATATGTTTTTTAAATTGTTGTCTCCCCCGTGAGATTGTGAGTTCCTTGAAGGCAGGAGTTTTTTACCTCTTTTTTGTATCCCCACCTCTTAGCACAGTGTCTGGCACATATTAGACACTTAAATAAATTGATTAATTAATTGATCCTAAATTTACTGTCTCCTTTGGGGACAGGTGGATTTCAAAACATGTTCCCATACTTCCACTAATGTACATCATCCCTTTCCTCTAAAAGACTCCTTCACATTAAACATCCTCCCATATTTTTTATGACCTTTGGATTTTACTGTATACCATAATTTTGATCCTTAACTTTCTTCCTTGCCCTCATTTCAAGTCCACCTTAAAGCCTGCCTGCTGTAAGACTCCTCTCCAGATTGTGTGTACGTGGAGGAGAAGGAAGGGAGAACAGGGAACTGCTGCCCCAACTCCAAAACAAAACAAAACAAAACCCAGGACTAATATGATACAATTTGATACATATAATATTATATATACATATAATATACATATAACATAGAACATGTGATATACATATAATACATACACATATACTATACATATAATATAGACATATATACATGCAATATGCATATAATATGTACATCTGTACATATTATATACATAGAATATAATGCACATATGATATACATATAATATAATTTTATATATATATGTATATATATATGTATATATATATATATATATATATATATATAGGAACTGCTGCCCTGACTCCAAAAAAAAAACAAACCCCCAAACCCAGGACTAATATGATACAATTTGATACATATATTATATATAATATACATATAATATAATGATATATAATATAATGATACATATAATATTATATATATGATGCAATTTGATACATTTAGACCCCAAAAATTGTCCTTGCAGCATTTGTTTTTACATTTTTTAATTTTTTAATTTTTTTTGGCTTTTAGGCAATTGGGGTTAAGTGACTTGCCCAGGGTCACACAGCTAGTAAGTGTCAAGTGTTTGGTCTGAGTCCGGATTTAAACTCAGGTCCTCCTGAGTTCAGGACCGGTGCTCTATCCACTGTGCCACCTAGCTGCCCCTGTTTTTACATTTTAGAACATTGCTACTGTTTGAAAATGATCACATTTGCAGGGATGTGCTAGTAGATGTTTAATGAGTGGCTCTGGGAAAAAAAAAGTATGAACACTCTTCTAAGTTTAATATGTATTATTAACATTTTCTCCATCAGTTTCTTAACTATAGAAATCAACAAAACAATAAATCAATCCTTGATCTGTAGCATTTATACATTTCCAAGGTGGAAATGCTCACACTAAAAATTTAACAATTGGCTCTGGCAAACTGTACAAGCTGGCTCCAACACACCCTTGAGTGGCCAAAGCTACAATATTTTCATATAAAATTTTTGCTTCATCTCTTCCTTCAACTTTTGTGTTGGAGCAAAATATGGCAAAACCTATCTTTTTTTATTATTGATTTTAATTCCAGTTAGAACAATTAAATCATGGAATTTTAGAGTCAGAAGGATTCTTAGGCAATCGAAGGAAATACTCTCTGTGAAAGGGATTCCTGCAGATAAAATACACTTTATGTAACCTACTATTGTTTAGTTCAACCCTTTTGATTTATGTATGTAAACAGAGGCTCAGAGAGGATAGATTAATGACCTGTCCAAGGCCAAACAGTTAGTGTTAGACGTAGGACTAGGACTCAGGTTTTCTGACCCACCTAGAGCTCTTTCTACTGTGCCATACGTGGCTATTTTGATTGGTCCTTATGTCTAACTCTGAGATTTTATTATTCTATTTCTAAATATGATACTTTCCAAATAATGATCACTTAAAATTACAGGCAAGAAGAAGGCTGCCTCATATAAATTATTTTAGTTTCAAATTTGTTTTTTATGTTTAATATTACAATTGAGAAAATTCCTCAATTGTAATTGCAATATTAATAAAATTTATACAATATGAAAAATACACAATGGGGGGTTGGTATTTACAGAGCTGTTCTCTTCCCATTCTCCTCCTTTAAGCTGTACTAGATAAGAAAGTGGGAACCCTAAAGTAAAACTGCTCAGACTTATCCACCCTGAGTCAAATGTCAGTGTGAGCACAGGAAAAAATAGATTGTAATTATGCTTAAAGGAGGATGGGGGAAGAGAAGGGAGCGTGGAAACCCTATGTTGATAGAATGCCTTTAAAAGGAGAAATGGTTTTGAAAAGCATTCTTTCCATTCCAATTCTAATAACAGAAGTTTATGAATGTGAGTTCTGTTTAGACAATAGGCTTGTAATAACCATCTGTTTTGGATATGTGTGATAAATCCATTCAAAATCAGCATTGCTCTATCCCATTCATGTACAATTGGGAGAATGACATTAAACCTCATTATGTTTGACACCAGATACTAGACCAAGCATGGAGAGTAACCAGCACACAGATCTGTCTGCCGAACAACAGCCACCCCCTTCTGCAGAGAGCAACACTTTGTTGTTACCTCATCAGAATGGCCTGGACAAACAAACAGAGCAGAATCCAGAGCCCAAGTCTCAGATACCTGAGAAAGAAGCAAGTGCTGACCCTGAAAACATGGGGAGTGATATTTCCGAAGAGCTCAATCGGCAGCTGGAAGACATTATAAAGACCTATGGGTCTGCCTCCAGCCTCGTGGGGAAAGAGAGCAGTATGAGAGATAAGGAGAAGTCTGAGAAGGCAGAATCCTTCAACCATGAGGAAGGGGAATATGAAGATGCAAATGATGACAGCGAAAAAGAACCAATAGCTGCTGGAGAAGCCCCCATATCTGCAGTCAGGGAGCCTTTCAGCAACAAGGAACAAAAACTGGAAAAGAAAATCCTAAAAGGACTAGGCAAGTAATGATATAATTAACATGGGTCCTTTCTTTAACTCATTTCTATTCATGAGCAATAATAACAACAACTAACATTTATATAGCACTTTAAGATTTTGCAAAGCACTTTACATATATTGTCCCATTATCCACATAACAACCTTGAGAGGTAGTTACTACTATTATCCTCATTTTTCAAATGAAGAACATAAGTCTGAGAGAGGTTAGGTGACTTGCCCAGGGTCACACAGCTAGTAAATGTCCAAGATAAGAATTTAACTCAGTTTTTATTGAATCCAAGTCCAGTGCTCTTTCCACTATACCATTTCTTCTTTGGGTCCTCACGAAGTCGCACAATCAATTATAGACATGACTTACCCTAGGTAATGCCACTGTATAGAAATTTGTATGTACACCAAAAATTCAATCCATTTCAACAAACATTAGCATCTACCATGAATGGGCAATGCCTTAAGCTGGGTCCTGGGGATATAAAGGTAAAAGCAAGATAGTCCCTGCCCTCAAGGAGTTTACATACTATGGGTGGTGGGAGGGAGGTGGAAGAGATACAATATGAACAGAAATACGCAAATACAAAGTATAGAAAAATTAATTGTGTAAAATAATTTTAGGAGGTAGAGAGTGCTGATAAGTAGAGATATCAGAAAAGACTTCACAAAGGAGACTGTGGGCTTTGATGGAACAAAGCTATCCTATGAGAAAGAAGTAAAGAAGGATTTTATTCAAGACATTCAAAATATGGTCATGGAAGTGAAGAGTGGAAGGGCAGGAATGGTGTGTACAGGAAACAACTAAAAGGCCAATCTGACTAGAACAGAGATTAAGGAAAGGGAAGTAATATGAAACAGGACTGAAAAGGTAGAAAGGATACATAACGTAAGACTTTGAATGTCAAGCTAAGGAGTTTGTGTTTTATTCTAGAGGCAATCAAGAGCCACTAAGGGTTTTTGAGTATGGAGGATAGGTGGCACGGTCAGACCTGTGTTTTACAAATGTCAATTTAACCGATATTAGAGGATATATTGGACAGAGAAGAGTCTGGAGGTAGGAAGAACAATTAGGAGGCCATTGCAGTATTCCAGGTAAGAGGTGATAAAGGCCTGGACTAGAAGAGAGGAGAGACTATGTGAGCAGAGAGCAGGGAGTGGAAATAAGACATGTCATAGAGGCAGAATTAGATATGTGGAATAAGGGAATAAGAAGAGTCAGCGATAACCCTGAGATTTGAAACCTGAGTGATTTGGAAGCATGGTGATGCTCTCAGCAGAAACAGACGAAGATCGATGTGAGAAGTCAGTGTATTCTGGTGGAAAGAGTACTACATTTGAAGTCAGAACTTGAGGTCAAATCTTGGTTCCACTGCTTACTATAACTTCTGTAAACTTAGATCAGTCATTTGCCCTCTCTGGGTCTTATTTTTCTCATCAGTCAAATAAATGAGTTGAACTATATGGTGTCTGAAGTATTCTTTCAACTCTAAGTCCCATGATCCAGTTTGGAAAAGATTTGTAGGTGGAGCTCAGATTTAAACTAGGTCCTGAAAAGGGAATAGGATTGAATTAGGAGATTAGGATGGGGTGGGGAGAGGTGACATTCCAGGCAAGATTCAGTAAAGGCCCAGAGGCAAGAACTCACCTGGTATATTTGAGGAACGGAAAGGTTCATAATGAGGATGGAGCTGATAAACTTTTATCCACATGGAGGACCTTGCGAAGGAGTTTTAATTTCATGGGCAATGTTTCATGCTGGGAGTTTCTGAGCCGGGAAATGATCTGATAATAATAATGTTTTAAGAAGATTAATTTGGCAATAATAAGGAATAGATAAGTAGTCTATAAATTCCTTGAGGTCAAGGACCGATTGTAGGGTCTTGCTTAATCAAAGACTGTTGAATGACTGACTGCCTAACAAAATGATTATAATAGAGATGCTAAGGGGGAAATGCCAACTGTCCCCAGTTCTCTCCAAAACATAAAATAAGCCTTCGCTTGACTATGAGGTTCCTTCTTCTACAAAATCAGTTTGTAGACTATTATAATAATCTATACATGTGGTAAATACAGGGAACAAAAGCAAAATTGATCATTTGTAGGAAAAAATTATGTTCCCATGCATTCATTTACAATAATACCAATGGAGAAAGGGAGCTTAATCATACAATTATTAATTTTTAAAGTGTACATTTCAAACATAATTATCTTGTAATTGATTTTGGCATTTTGAAAAATGGAACATAGAGACAGCAGAATACAATTGGGTGACAGAATATAATTTTACTTTATGAAGTGACTAATCCTGTCATTCAATAGCAGCCCCAAAGAACACTAAATGTTAGCTTTCAATCAATTAGAATGCAAAAAAATTTTTTTTTCTATGTAGGTAAAACAAGCAGAAAAACTTTAGGATCAGAAAGGATGGCCCAAAGAAGAAATAGGAGGTTGGGATGCCCTGAATCTATTAACTTTTCAACAAATAATAGTGACAAGGCAAACTCTAATCTGATAGCTTCATTTTGTTTATTGATCCATTGGAATCCAAGAGCAGAATGTATTAGATAAGTTGAAAAGTAATTCTACACTGTCATGGAACATCACCATGAGATCCTAAACAACACTACAGTTGACAGCTTAAGAAAGGCTAAATAATTTATTAATGTACCCGTGCCTCAGCACAGTTGATCCATGCCATGTAAGAGATTAGGATTAAAATAATTGAGATGAGACCTAAAAAAAAAATATTCCAACAGATTCAAAAATTCAAGGTTAAATTCAAGATCCTTTTTGTGTAATTGGCAGAGATTCAAAAATCACTCTAGCATTTGGTCATCCCAAGAAAGCTTTCGCAGCTGCTTTCTCCTTTCTCCCCCACTCTCTATGCAAACCAGAATAGTAAGGGCTTTCCTATCTATGCCTGACATTTTCAAAAGGACCTAGCAGTACTAGAGACCATTAACAAAACTTTAGCCTAGAAGAATGACTTCAGCAATCCCTGATTTAGGAAACTCGAACTTTGGTCTCCAAATTTGATTATGTTTATTTTTGCATATGAAAGTTGCAAAGATATGTGGTGGGAGTGGGGAAAAGGGAGAAGGTGGAAGAGAAAGGGAAAGAACAATGGCTGGCTCTTAGTGTGGTTATTTCTTCTTTCTGTTCATTTTTATTGTTTATCTTTACCGAAGCCTTCCAATTTCCGAATTGCCAGAGTGATTTACAAGAAGAAAACCCATCTAGCTCCAGTTTGCCACAAGTCACAAGGCATATGGATTTGGTTATATGTGATCTTTTAAGAAAGGTGTTGTGAGTGGGGAAAACTTGGGTTTAAATCAGTCCCTTAGTATCCATGACCACAGCAACTGAGTTACTTAAAGTTCTAAGCCTCCGTTTCATCTTCAGTATCACTAATACTTGGGACTCAAATCCATAAATATATGTAAAGTACTTTGTAAGCTTTAAAGCAGATAGTTTAACTACACTTCTTTCACCCCCAAACTCCCTTTAGACTTGCAAATAAGTATTTACTTATTTATCTACTACTTTCTGAACCTACTATTTGTTCCTGGCAGACAGACTCCCTGGGGGATGGAGAAGCATAATAATAAAAATAAAAGCTCACATTTGCAAAGAGCTGTTAAGGTTTGCAAAGCACTTTCCTCACTATAATCTCAGGACGTTGGCTTTTTAGGTGTTATTATCTCCATCTGAAAGATGCGGAAACTGAGGCTTGGAGTAGTAAAGGGACTAGCCTGGGGTCACACCAGGATATGTCTGAGTCACTATTACAACCTAAGTACCTCTTGACTCTAAGCACAAGACAAAAGTTCCTGCCCTCAAAAAGCTTTCAGTTTTGCTGGAAAAACAAGACTAAGATACAAAACGACAGTGAGCAACATAAGCAGTACATAAATTTCACAATATGTACTATAAGCCCTCTAGGTGATGAGAGAGAGAGACACACACAGAGAGAGACAGAGACAGAGACAGAGAGAGACCAATGAAGCCTGAGCTGGAGTAGTCAAGAAAATTTTTTATGGGGGAGTCAGGTCTTGAGCCATCCAGAACAGTCTTGCTGTTTCTCCCCACCCCTTCAAGAAATCATATTTATTCTCTCCTCTGTTCTGGCAATAGAGTGGGCAATATTGTAGTATCTTGATCTCAAATAGCATGCTGCTTCTTTTATTCTACTTCTTTTTCTTTTAATAAAAAGGGCATTTTTGTTTGTTTCTTTTCTCCCCTCCCCCCTTCTCAAAACTAGACTTTTCAAGATTTTTAATTAATTTTTTCTTTGCAGTTCCAAACACTTAATTACCAAACACAACAAACATTTACACGATCACTCTTTTTCCTACTCATGTAACCTAACAAGGAATCCCAAAGTTACTTCTTTAGCTAAATTTAGGGCCAAAGCATATGGTTTGGTGAAATAAGAAGAATTCTAGACAGGAAGTAAGAAGACCTAAATTTTTTTAGTCCTGGCTCTATCTATTAGCTGTGTGATCCTGAACAAGTCCCTTCTTTCTGGACCTTTGTTTCCTTATCCATAAAATGAGGCAGTTAGAGAAGATTGTCTCCAAAATTCTCTCAAAAAATTCATTGGATAGTAGAATAAAGAATTTTATATAGGCACTGTGGGATAGTGGATAGAGAATTGGCTTCAGATTCAAGAAAACCTGAGTTTTCCTCTGACATCTATTGGGGTATAACCCCTGGAAAAGTCATTTAATTTCTTAGTGCCCCACTTAATGGGTTTTCTTACCCTTAGACATGAACTTTTTCAAAAATATTTTGGTAACTATTTCAATATGACTGATTACCTTTATAATCCAATGTGTTTTATTTTATTCATTTTAAAACATTCTAAGAAGGAGTCTACATGCTTCACTGGTGAAGGGGTCCAAAACACAAAAAAGAATAAGAACCCCTGCTCTAAGATTATTAATTGCAGAGCAAAGACAAATAATCTTCACTGATAAAGCTTCCTCACTGAGACTTCCCTACATC